ACTAGATAATTATGTTAAAAGGAAATAAAAAGAGCATCTTCGTAAATGTTGTTATTAACAAGGCTCCAGACCTGAGTATTTATGTCATTTCTTCCATTTGCCATTTAGCTATATGGGTTTCTAGATGAAAATGAGTTAGAGTAATATTCAGGGGAGAATACTGCTAATAGAGGAAATTAGTTTCCTGCCAGCAGTGCAGTAATGTAACTATCAGTAATTTGCTAAATAATCAGCTGTGCCTGGCATGTTTTTGTAGATTTTGGATGAGTATTTTTAAGGAGAAAAAGAATGTTCTGGCTTGGCCCCCATAGCACAGTGGTTATGGCGCTGGCCATCTACACCGAGGTTGGCTGGTTCGAGCCCGGGCCAGCTAAGCAACAATGACAATTGCAATAGAAAAATAGCCGGATGTTGTGGCCGGCACCTATAATTCCAGCTACTTGGGAGGCTGAGGCAAGAGAATTGCTTAAGCCCAAGAGTTTGAGGTTGTTGTGAGCTTTGACAGTACAGCACTCTACCCAGGGCTATAGCTTGAAACTCTGTCTCTCAAAAAAAAGAAAAAAGAAAGAAAAAGAATGTTCTTCTGATGTATTGTGTCTCTTTGGTGTAAGACTGACTTCACATGTAGATATTTGCATTCTCTGTTGAATTCTCCCCATTCTTGGAAATTTGAAGACTTTTCTGATGTCTGGTAGGTAAATTCTCTATACGTTGTTCTTCTAGAACTTTAGCAATCCTGGCTCATTCTGTGTCCATCCACAGGGTACTGTGTTATGCTTGGTATTTCTGACGTGCAATTCACAAGACTCCAAACTACCCTATGTGAAAGAAAAAAAGTCATACAATCTCTGGAATACACAGATTCTGTTTTAGATATGAAAAACAAGCATATGCCAGATACAGTAAGGTTTACTTACAATATTTCTGTTTTTTCCTGATGAGGAAATCTAGACACAGGAAGGTGAAGTTACACGTATGTGGTCACTCACCTAGCACCAGATGCAAGGTTCAACCCAGGTCTGTATTTCTTCAAATTTGCTCATGTTCCTGTATTGCAATAATCTGTTACTACTGTGCAATAGAAATTCAGAGGAACAACTGGGTATGGATAGGAATAATTAGGATAATCATCCTGATTGGAATAGAATAATAAAAAACATGAAACATGGGACATACATGAGAGGATCAGACCCTGGAGGTAGGTAGTTATAAAATAATAATACTACCAATAACGGTAAGTGTTTGAACGCTTACCATAGACTAGGCACTATTGAGATGTATTAACTTGTTTAGTTCTCATGACAACCCTTTGAAGTATGGGCAGTTATTTTCATTTTGTAGACAGGGAAACCCAAGAGAGAACATATAGGTTGCAGATCTTGCCCAAGGTCACACATTAAGGATGGAATCCAAACGAGAAATCTGGCCATGTGCAATTTGATTCTCGAGCCTGTGGTAGGTAGCAGTGAACAGGAAGGGGCAAATCAAGGGGGCACATTTCAGGGCTGAATATCGTGGCTGTAAGACAAGGGAGGGGGAAGTGTCAGCAGAGGACGGGTGGGTGTGGGAGAGGGATGTACCCCGACTGATACCTGAAGCCTTGAGAGAGGTAGAGTCAAAGGACAAGTAAGTGCAGGCAGAGACCACGAGGTAACAGAGCCTTAAGGGACTCTCAGGGTTTCTCTAGAGAGGTCCTAGGCAGAGGTGGAAAAGAGGAGCATGAGGGATGGAAAATCCAAGGAAGAAGAGAATGAGGATGAGGTGTCAGTGTGCCTGAGACTCCACGGGGCAGGGTAACTTTAAATTAACTCTACCGTCTTCTCTGTGCTTTTGGGGTTTGTGGTATTTCTCCTTTCTTATGCTTGGTCTTAGCCAAAAGGCCAAGAAGCAATTATTTCTCCTTTCCTATCTGTTAACTCTTGCTTCCTTTTATGTTTTTAGCACTTTAAGTTAATCACAACTCAAGGGGAAAAGGAATAATTATTAATGATATTAGTACAAATGCTTTCTAATATTGTATGTACCTGTACTTCGGGAGAAAGTAGCTAATCTGAGTTAGCTGGTGTGAAGACATGCTAGTATTGGTGCTACATTCTAACCTTGTTTATTGCTTAATAAAGAGACCTTTTAGTGTCACGTTAGAGTGTTCTAACTTGTAAGACACCATAGAATTAAAAGAGATTTCATGAGTGATCTTTTATTTATTTGTTTATTTATTTAGAGACACAATCTCAGCCTGGGTGGAGTGCCATGGTGTCGCAGCTCACAGCAACCTCAAAATCTTGGGCTCAAGTGATCCTCTTTCCTCAGTCTCCCAAGTAACTGAGAATATGGGTGCCCCTCACGACACCCAGCTAGTTGTTTGTTTTGTTTTAATTTTTAGTAGAAACAGGTTCTTACTCTTGCTCAGGCTGATCTCTCTTGCTCAGGCTGGTCCTGAACTCCTGAGCTCAAACAATCCTCCAGACCCGGCCTCCCAGGTGTGAGCCACCGCACCTGGCTTGGCAAGTGAAATTTTAAAATAAGCCGTTTCTTCCCATTCTGCCCAGTTTGGGAACTTGTAGTAAAACCTTGTTACACGATCCGCTGAGTCCTTCAGACTAGTTCTCAGGACACTGTACCTATCCAGCTTCGCTCTTTCTTATTTTAAGACAGAATCTCTGTCACCCTTGGTAGAGTGTTGGGGCATTATAACTCACAACAACCTCAAACTCTTGGGCTCAAGTGATCTTCTTGCCTTAGCCTCCCCAGTAGCTGGGACTACAGGCACCCACCACAACACCTGGCTATTTTTCGAGACAGGGGTCCTCTGTAGCTCAGGCTGGTCTCGAACCCGTGAACTCAGGTGATGGACCTACCTTGGCCTCATGAGCCACCGCGCCCTGCTCAGCTTTGCTTTCTCTAACATAGAAGCCCCTCCCTCCATGCTACCTTCTGAGGTGTCCTCCCTGTGCCTTCTCGTATCCTGCTTTTTCCTGCCTCTGCTGTTTCCTACTTGACCTGTTCAAAATGAATCCTTCAAAGCCCAGGCAGCATGAGTCTCACCTGAGTCTCATACTATTAATTCTCTGAGTACTTCACTGATTTCTTCTTGCCCTTGATATCTTTTGCACATATTGTCAATACTATGTATTTTAAAACTTAATCACTTTACTACATGTTAAAATGAAAAAAACAAAAACCATAAGCCAAAACACAACAAAAAACCCTGATGGCATAAAAGGGCATAGTAGTTTTAGTTTTCCTACATTATCTCTGGGTACGGTTGGGATTTGGGAAACAATTTAAGGATTTGTGAGTTTTGTTGTTTATTAGGAATAATTACCTTTCCAGGTAAGGGATACATGTATAGCGTTACTTTTACAAAGAATTTCTAGCTACTACTACTGAGATTATGCACCCTACCTCATTATTCTCCATTAATTTAGGAATCTTAAATGCCAGTGTTGATTTTGACATACACTGAGGATTGCTCCTATTTTTTACAGAGCTCATTAGAATAATTAAAGAGGTTTCATAAGACATGAGTTGTTTTCGGACATTGCCACAGGGCACTCCTAATAGCGATCCTTATTATTTGAGACTTGATTAGGCATTTTATACAGCACAGAAATCATGCTGCCATAATTAGGTACAACGGGATGATGAGAGGATTTATTTCTGTATCCTAGAATTTCAGTTTAATCTCAAAGCGGAAGATAATAGGCATTATTACTCCACATTGTTAAGGATGTTTGCCAGAAGCTCTAGCGGAAGGCACCTTCCCACCTCCAGAGCCTGTCCTATCTCCATCAACCTCCACTTCACTCTAGGCAGCGGGCTAAGTGTTACTTTTCTTGGTGACACTGCAGTCCCTCTCATCCTCTGGGTTCAGGGCGGAGAGCAGCTCCCTCTCAATACTGTGCTTGCTTGAGGCCAGCCCCCATCCAGTACTTCACCCTTCTCCCATTCCTGTTCATAAATTGATTGGAGGTTGGGGAGGGAAGGGTTTTATGGAAGTTGGGCTAACTCCATTATTTCTTAGTAAGTCATGAGTGAAGAGGGGCCACACTACTGTGTCAACCTTGCCTACGCATTGGGATCATCTAAGGATTTGATGCCCAAGTTGCACCCTAAACCAGTCAGGTTATTGATACATCTCTTTGGGTGGGACTCTGGAATCAGTAACTATTTTTTTTTTTTGAGACAGCCTCAAGCTGTCCCCTGGGTAGAGGGCCATGGCATCACAGCTCACAGCAACCTCTAACTCCTGGGCTCAAGCAAGTCTCCTGCCTCTGCCTCCCAAGTAGCTGGGACTACAGGTGCCCACCACAACGCCCGGCTATTTTTTTGGTTGCAGCCATCATTGCTGTTTGGCGGCCCAGGCTGGATTTGAACCCGCCACCTTAGGCGTATGTGGCTGGTACCTTAGCTACTTGAGCCACAGGTGCTGAGCCAGAATCAGTAACTTTGAAAGCTCCTCCAGATGGTTCCATTAAGCAGTCAAAGTTGAGAACCACTACTGCAGAATATTCTGAGTTGGGGGAGAGGAAGGGAGGGTATTCGAGGCCTTTTATTCCCTAGATTTGGTCTTAGTCAAAATTCTTTAAAAACAAAAAAAAACTCACTATCTTGTTAAGTAAACAAAGAAAAATTAAGGTTCTCGTTTAGTCTGTTTTATAGCATAATGCTATTTTTACCTTGAAGTGAAGGAAGAATCAACATTATCCTTGGACTTTTTCTCAATAGTAAAATTTATAGTAAGGTGGAAAGAAGATTGGTATGCCTTATTTGCCGTCTTAAAGCTGCATTTTACTGTCACACAGCAAATGAGTTCTGTCCTAGCATTATCACTGGGCTGGGACGGCACATATAACAAACAGTCTCATTTTAGCTAATTGACTGCTCAATGAGCCTGTTCTAACAGTTTGTCTTAAAAACTCAGCTATTTCCCTGGGAATGAGTGTGCTTGTTGGAGGCGCCATTTCACTTGCTTTCTCACTTCCTTGATGTTCCCACAGCTCGAGAAATGGCCGCTCAGTGTGTCACGAAGGTGGAGCTGAATATTTCCTGTAACAATCTTTTGGATACCGATGTAGGGTCAAAGTCAGACCCACTCTGTGTATTATTTTTGAATACAAGTGGTCAACAGTGGTATGAGGTAATATTAAATACTTTGGGTGACAAGTTATATGAATTACTCTTTTAATAATGTGAAGAAATTTTTTAAAAAATGTTAAAACTAATAACACCATCTTTGTTAATTCAGTTTTGGGGGAAAGTTTGCCATCGATTGTAGAATTCTTCATACACATGTAGAAACTTCCTTTATTTGTCGTGCCTGATTTCATCGTGTTTAGTATATAAAAATGTTAAAATCCAAGTGCATCTCTGACCTGAAGACATTTTTTTTGTTTGTTTTTGGGGGTGGGTGTAGGTCGAACGCACAGAAAGGATTAAGAATTGCTTGAATCCCAAATTTTCCAAGACGTTTATTATTGATTACTACTTTGAAATTGTTCAGAAATTGAAATTTGGGATTTATGACATTGACAACAAAACTATTGAGCTGAGCGATGATGACTTCTTGGGAGAATGTGAATGTACGCTTGGACAGGTGAGTAGAGTACACACAGCCACCATCTCTGTTTTTGTCTAGAATTTTAAGCAACAAATTAGGTGTTTTTGATAAATGTTCATTTATTTAATTTTTTCGGGGGGGGGGGCCAGGCCTGGGTTTGAACCCATCACCTCCAGCATATGGGACCAGGGTCCTACTCCTTGGAGTCACAGGCACCATTTATTTAATTTTTAAAGTTGAAAAACATGTAATCATTTTAAAGACTGAGCTCATATACGTGTATTAATACTGTTAGCTTGAATGTTATACAGTTTGCTATTTTTTGTAAGGGTGTGGTCCATGCATTTCTGGCAAAGCTTTCTGACTCTTGAGTAAGGATGTTTCATTAGCCATTTCAATAAATAATGCTGCTGTTGTAGATGGTACAGAGTTCAGTACAATTTTGTTATGCTCAAGGCACCAATGCTATCATATTAACAACTCCTGTAATGTCCTAACCAGCATAACTTGTTCTTCGTGACCACTGATGCCTCACACCAGCCCTTTTGCATGGCTTGTTCTTGATACAACCTGAGTTACATGTGTTTAAACCTCACTCCTCCCACAAACCTTTTCTGACCCCTGGACTAGATTGGAGCCCTTCCCTGAGCTCACTTGGCACTCTCTACTGCTGGTCACCATATCTTACTGCAGTTGTTTAATTTCCTGTCTTCCCAGTATACAACAAGCTTGCTCGGGGTAGGGGCATGTCCTGTGGCTCACTGTGCCCCTGGCTCAGTTTGATTAATGAGGAGATCGTGACCCTCTGTGTAGATGGGGGATGGTTTCAGGAAGCAGGGGCCATTTCTTCAGTGGGTAACATTTGGCACTTAAATTTGTCTTTTACAAGTTTATTTTTCAGGGTTGAATTGTTTGGACGCTTGGGTATTTTCTAAGTCTCATGAGCAATATGGAACTGATCAGTTTCCTAAAACTCTGATAAATAGTATCAAAGAAAAAAATTAAAGATGATTTTTTGTTTTTTTGGGGAAAAAACACAGTGTAGCTGAAATTCTAATGAACTTGTAAACACATCAGAGATATATATGTTTAAAAGTACCTTGTGTTGTTATATTATTACTATATTAATTATATTAATTTTAAGCAACGTAATACTTTATGAGAGTTAAATATTAAAGTTATTTGTCAGTAGAAAAGTTGAATCCCATTTATTGAGCATTCTGAGACTCACCTTTTACCGAGAGGGGTTTCAGCTCAGCCATTTGTATATGCAACGAGAATCTGGCCCTCTTATTCTATTACAAGGAAGAAGTTAAATTTTGAAGTGTTGGGTAAAGAAACTAATAGGTGGGGAGATTGTATCTGCTAGGGTAGGTTCCTTGAAAGTTCATTTCCAATGAGTTTTTAATGGGTAGGTGCATTGTAAATATCTAAAGAATCTTCAACAGTCTCTAACAGACTTAATGTTTCCATTTCTAATGATTTTTAAGTGAATTTATCTGGGCACTGTGGCTCAAACCTATAATCCTAGCACCCTGGGAGGCTGAGGCAGGAGGATTATTTGAGGCTAGGAGTTTGAGGCTGCAGTAAGCCTGTGATTATGCCTTTGCCCTCCCAAGTAAGCGCACATCTCAAAACAAAACAAAAAAAGAAAAATAAAGAAAAAATCAACTGAACTTTATACTCAGTCATTTGGGGGGAATTATTCAATTTAAAAATTCACATGTTGAAGTAAAATAGCTCTTTGTATCTTTCAATTTTCACTTTTCAATTTTAACAGATTGTTTCCAGTAAGAAGCTAACTCGACCACTGATGCTTAAAAATGGCAAACCTGCGGGGAAAGGGAGCATTACGGTAAAGATGAGATATTTGTCCTTTGCCTCAAAAGATTTAGCATAATGGAACATGCTAAAACTGTGCCTATCAGACAGATACCCTACAGCCATGCTTTATCACTTGCTCTGGAATGTTGCATTCTGTCCACCCTCGCCTTGTAGTGATCACAGATGAAGGAGGATGATGAAGATGAAGGAGGAGAATGCAGTGTGGGCATCCCTTCTTTGTGTTTTTGAAGTTGTCGGTAGAGGTCAGGTGCACCTTGGTGATATACTTGCTCCTCCGCCGTGGAAGCATCAATATTCTAAAATAATTTGGCTTTCTACAAAGGAAACTTCTCTCAACATGATGAACTTTCCACGATGGACTTTATTTCCAGATGGATGTTACATTGTGACATTGTTATTGAACCTACAAACTCTTTATCCTCCATTCTGTGCTTGTTCACTGCTGCCCATCCTCCCACCCAGACTTTCCACTGCTGGTTATGGTCCTAGGCAAATGAATATATGCTTTACCATATTTTAAGTTTCAAATTCTACAAAGCCAAACTTTTAAATTCTTTGTCTTCTGCAGTTTCTTCCTGGACTGATGGCTTCCTAACTTAAGCTCTCTCTGAGAGTATGAGGCTGACTCCTGGAGAAAGCCGTGTTTGAGGGTTGTTGTGATTCTCAAATACATTTCTCTGAGCAGCTATTTTGCTCTGGGTTAGATTTCCAAAAGCGTTGAAATGTTCAAACTCTTGGGCATATTGACCTTTGTAGGGCAATGAACATTATCGGTAGTTCTCTTTATTACTTTGGGGCATGATCGCCTGATATTTATTTTAAGTAGAATGAGTCTTTTAGTTACACTGGATGAAAACATTATTTTCATACATTTCAGTGTATAAAGTTTTCTGAGTGTTATTTACTCATGCTTCTCAGTTTTTAGGGAGATTTGCTTGTTTTGTGCAGAGGATAGCCTTAACTTTTCCAGGGCTTTGACTTTTCTCTGAGATGGGGAAGATCCACTTTGGGCACCACATTTACAAAGGAAATTGCATAATGCAAACTTCACACATTTTTGGAAAATATTTATTTCACACACCTAAAAGAAATAATGGTACATTTTTAGTGGTACCATTTTCTTAATGAAAATTTTAAAATTCACTTGTATTAGTATAGATTTATATATTATTAGATAACAGAAAAAGTCAGCACTTATTTCATAAATATAGCAAAGTCCCTAAAATTTATTTTCTTTCACTTACCTTATCTACTTATAGATTTCAGCTGAAGAAATAAAGGATAATAGAGTGGTTTTGTTTGAAATGGAAGCCAGAAAACTGGATAATAAGGTGAGTAGATTAAGCAGGTTTCAACAAAGATGTCCTGTTTGGTATCACATCAATTTCCTTTTGAGAAATGAAGTTAATATTGTGAATTCCATGTCTGGGCATCACATGGAGTATTAGTTATTTCCAAATTTTGCATTTGTGTGTGTTTGTGCATGTGTTTAAGCAGAACATATTTCCCTTTACATCTAGATGAAAGAACCTCTTTCATCTAGATATAATCAAAGAATTAGCCTAGGTTAAAAGAGGGGTTTAATACAAACATTAACATTACTGTAAAAGATAATCCAACTATACTCTCAAATAGTATAGTTGGATTATCTTTAGTAAAACAGCAAAAAGTCCATACTTGACTAATTATAAACCAGTTATCCTTTTTGCTTTCAAATTCAAGGTGTCAATGTTTAATATTTTCCTCGTCCCTTCCCTCCCTTTCCCTCCCCTCCCTCCCCTCCCCTCCCTTTCCCATCCCTTGTCAGAGTCTCTGTTGCCCAGGCTATTACAGGCATGATCATAGCTCACAGCAACCTTAAACTCTACTGGGCTCAAGGTGATCCTCCTGCCTCAGCTTCCTGTGTAACTGGGACTACAGGAGTGTGTTACCAGGCTCAGCTAATTTTTATGTATAGGTGTGTGTGGGGGGGTCTTACTATGTTGTCCAGGCTGGGGTTGACCTCCTGATCTTAAGTGATCTTTCTACCACTGTTGCCGTAAGGGTCTCACGGAAAAGTGATGTCACAGAGAATAAGCATGCTTATTGAAGTTGTGTTTTAAATAAAGGTGACCATCTGCTGGCTCAGGCAAAATGGCGAGCCTTCTTTATTTACAGTTGGTTTATATTGGGAATCTTGTGCATGCACACTATACAGCAGTGACCTCATTAACATTCATTACAATCCCTCTGCACATGCGCATTGCACATCAATGACTTCATTAATCCATTTAAACATCTTATGACCATCCTCCCTGTAAGTAGCTCTTTTCTAGTAATCTGATAATCCACCCAACATACACCTTTAAGCATAACCCTTTCAACATAACCTGGTTTAACATAACTTAATGAAGAACATGTTGTCAGTCATTACTTTCTTTGCTCTTATCTGATGAAGCCTGAGGCTACAGGGGAAAGAGATAATTTGAATGTCTGTTCTACTGACCATGCCATTTGGAGGCAGTTACTTCGAATCTTTAAGCAAAGCACAGAGAAACTTCTTGGGCATACAAGAATTTGTGTGCAAACCTCTGCTCCCATGTAGGCCTTAGTTCTGGGGGTTTTTGCTGGAGCTTTTTATAAGGAATTCTCAGGCTGGACTTCTCAAAAGCCTTTCATGAACCCAGGTTTCATCTGTGCCATTAGATACCTGTATGCATTGGGTAAATTCCTCTTCTCTTGAGGTCCCCTAGCACATTTCCATTCCCAGACCTGTCAGCAAGCAACCTTATCACTTACCACAGATCAGGAAAGGTTACTGATGGGTATCTGGCCAGTTTTTCAAAGGGCTTTTTCATTTGCCTTATAAAGTCAACCTTAATTCCTTAACGCAGCCTGGAAATACTATTCCAGCCAAAGCCTTGGTCATGTTAGGCCTGCAACTAACCCGGCCATATGGGATTCTGCCTCAGTTTCTCACAAGTATGCCTGCACAAAGTCTTTTCACTGCTCTCTCAAATGGTCTTTTGGCCAGAGGCATATAGGCATTTCGCCTATATACCACACCCTCCCATACTGCTGAGATTATAGGCGTAAGCTACTGTGTGCAGCCCTTGTTTATATTTTTGACTATACCTGATAGTGTTATTTGCTTGACATTAAACTCTGTGTTCAAGAGGGAAATAATATTATCATAGTTCTTACATTAATACTGAAGTTAATTCAGGACTAAAAAAATCTTTAGCTCAGGGATATATCTGCATATATTATTGTGCATTAATAATTTTTTTTTCTTGAGACAGAGTCTCTCTGTGTTGCCCTTGGTAGAGGACCGTGGCATCACAGCTCACAGAAACCTCAAATTCTTGGGCTCAAGTGATTCTCTTGCCTCAGCCTCCCAAGTAGCTGGGACTACAGGTGCCCACTACAATGCCCAGCTATTTTTGTTGTTGTTGTTGCAGTTGACATTGTTGTTTAGCTGGTCTGGCTAGGTTCAAACCTGCCAACTTTGGTGTGTGTGGCTGGCACCATAACCACTGTGCTATGGGCACCAAGACTGTGAATTAATAATTAATGAATTAATAATTTTTTGGGGGGGGGCTGGGGCTGGGTTTGAATCCCCCACCTCCAGCATATGGCCAGTGCTGTACCTTTTTGAGCCACAGGCACCGCCCCCAATGAATTAATAATTAATTAAGGATTAACATGTGTCCTTTCATTTTCAAAAATAGTAAGGAATATATACTAAGGAGTATGTAATTTTCAAAATGAAGATAAACAAAAACAAAACAATAATATAATCTGTAGTCTCACCACCTGAGTTAAAATCTGTGATTTGTACATTCTTTTAGAATCCTTTCTCTTTGTGTAACAGTGTGTGTGAGTGTGTGTGCGTGTGTGCATACATGTGTGTGTGTGTGTGTTGGGGATGGTGATGAGGGCATTTCTGAGCACTCACTATGCTTGAGCACTATATAGGAGTGCTGTGGTGAATTACAGAGGAAATATTAATAGAAGATGTAGTTGAGGACTCAAGTGCCCTTGAAGTATTTCTGTTGCTCTTTCTATATATCTTTGTCTGTTCTCTTGTGTGTGTAAAGAAATGTGTGGTGTTGGTGAAGGGGTTTTGGACATAAAAGGTGACACATGAAGTCAAGACCCAGATCCATCTATTAATTGGACATATGGTTTTGGGAAAGTCAGTGTAAGCCCTCTGAATCCATTTTCTCACTGATAACTGCCCTGTCCTTCAGAGTTGTTATGGCTAATGTTTGAGTTATTATTTATATAAAACTACTCAGTGCTATTTTCATTCGTTACTGCTGAAAATAAACCCAAACCATATTTTATGGTTCATTTGATCACTATATTTTACAACTCTCCTATTGTAAAGTTTGAGAAATAAGTATGATATACAGCATTAATCATAAGTATTTTAATAGTTCTCCCAGGTGGACTTTGGGAAGTTTATAAGTTAGTGAGAAAGATGATCAGATTTGTGTTTACAGTATATCTGCATCATGGAATTAGACCTCAGGTGGCTGCTAACATATATGAAGTGGGATCACACGTGGTTTTAGAGTAGAATAAATGATGTTTTGTTCATTTTAAATGTAGGATCTGTTTGGAAAGTCAGACCCGTACCTGGAGTTCCACAAGCAGACATCTGATGGAAACTGGCTAATGGTTCATCGAACAGAGGTAAATATTCAAATTTGAAATGTAGGGTAGTGGTTTCCTTTGGAATTATAGTAATCTGGGCTTTAAAAAATTGCATATGTATGCCAACATCAGTGGGCAATTTCTAAAAATTACGTATTTATAAAAATATCACCCTGACTTCAGCCTTTCATACAGCCAAGAAATACTAGGATACTAGGTTAACATGCTCATTTGTCTTTTAATGAAAAAAACCCTTCTACCATGCTTAATTATTTTTATTTAAATTTTTTTTAAGTTCTATAAAGAACTGTAAACATATTCCTCTGTACCACTTACCTAGATTCATCAACTAATCCTACCTGCACTCACTTGTGCCCTCCTTCTCTCTCACACACACATACCCCCACACATACACTCCCTTTTGTAAAACCATCCTAATCTTGGCCACAACCATCGTGACTCTTCACCTTCAAATGCTATAATAGGCATTTCTCAAGAACAAGAGCATTCTGTACAAGCACACCTGAGAAAATTAATGTTTATTTAATAACATCATATTCACTGTACATATTCATCTTGTGTATTTGGTTTTGTTTTGTCCAGGATCCACTCAAAGGCTCGTGTTTTGCCTGTGGCTGTTGTGTTTCCAATATAGCAGTAGAGGACTATTCTTTCTATCTCCTTTATATATGAGTAATCAAGACCAGAATGTCTAACATTCTGGATTCTTCTGCTTTCTCACAACTACAACTAGATCCAGATCAAACATTTCTTTCTTTTTTTGAGTCATAGTCTGTTGCCTGGGCTCAAGCCATTTTCTTGCCTCAGCCTCCCAAGTAGCTGGGACTACAGGTGACAGCCACAATGCCAGGCTAATTTTTCTATTTTCGGTAGGGATGGGGTCTCACTCTTGCTCTGGCTGGTCTTGAACTCCTGAGCTCAAGAAATCCTCCCACATTGGCTTCCCAGAGGTGCTAGGATTGCAGGTGTGAGCCACTGCACTTAGCCCCTAGATCAAACATTTCTCTTGAGAACACTACATGTGACCCTTCCTCCTCCTCATCAGGGGCTCACAGTGTCAGGCTGCCTGATATTGATGATGTCATGCGTGGCTACTTAATTAAGTTGGCGACCACCAGATTTTGCCATGATATAGTTTCATTTTTTTTTATTTTTGTAACTAAGAAGTGACATGTGCTGTGATACTTTGTTAGGTGTTATCTATTCTCTAGCATGTTATACAGTAGTTTTAGCATAAATTGATGATCCTTGCCTGAATCAATTACTGTATTGGGGATTGTAAAATAGTGATTTTTTTCCCTAAATCTTTCATCCCTTTTTATTTATATTAGCAGGAATTCTTCTTTCCCACTTTCCCTCTTACTTTCTCTCTTTTTATTTTTACATTGTAGCATCATGGGTTGTTATAACTATATGCATTGTGTTGTAATTCATTACTGTCATTTGGGGGCTCAAATCAACCCAAATCCAACTAGGGAGAGCTCATTGAAATGCTCCTGTTTTATTTTTATTTAATTTTTTTTAATGAGACCTCATTCATCTTTAAGCGTTCTCTTCCTTGGTAGTTTGCCTTATACTTTCCCTGTGCCAGAGCTGAAATGAGCCATATCCTTAAGAAACCCTAAGAGGATAACAGTGTTTATTTTTATTTCATTTTATTTTTTTGACAGTATGCTAGCAAAGGGAAGTAATAGTATTTAACCACTAATGTCTGAGTGCTGAATGTGCTCATTGCTACCGTGATGTCACTGCTTTTAGGCCTTTTCAGTGCACACAACTAGGAAATATGTGTATTTGTGTATATCTGTTTATCAGGTATATATGTATAGTGTTGAAATTGTAAATCATGAATTTAGACTTAGTTCTCCAATTCAAATCCAATACGGTAAGGGTCTTATTCCATATTTACCATTCCTTGTTTTATATTTGAATCTTCTTTGCCCTACAGTGATATCCTGGTTTTCAACAAAATCAATAGTCCCTGCCATTTCTATTTATACCTTATAGTTGGTGGATAGATTTCCCAAATAATTTCCTTCTTTCCCCAGAATGTACCAAAACTAGATAATTGTTACATTTTTCATGTTACAGTTGTATAATAGCTAGTTTCTTTCTTTCTTTTTTTTTCTTTTTTTCAGTTTTTGGACGGGGCTGGGTTTGAACCCACCGCGTCCAGCATATGGGCCCGGCGCCCTACTCCTTTGAGCCACAGGCGCCTCCCAATAGCTAGTTTCTTATTGAAATAGTTGAGTAGGTGAAGAAATAAAGGATGAATGTGAGGGTATATCGAGGACCTGGGAAAGACAAGAGCAAAACATTAATAAACTAGGTATTTTTCTAACAGGTCTTTGATCCTTCATTTTTATAGGTTGTTAAAAACAACTTGAATCCTGTTTGGAGACCTTTTAAAATTTCTCTTAACTCTCTGTGCTATGGAGATATGGACAAAACAATTAAGGTAACTTGAAATTATGTAATTATATGCACACATACATACATGCTCATCTATTTTGCTGTTTTATAAAATTTATTAATATAAAGAAAGTAAATGATATAACAGATATTCAAAGGTTTGAATTTTATGTATCTATGTAGTAATACTAACATAGAAATGTCTTCCGATTAAGTGAAATCGTCAGTTTAAGGAAAAGACATGTTTGCCTAATCTGTGGACCTAATACTTAATCAAGCAATACAAATTCTTTTTATTTTGTACTTTTTATTTTGTTAAAAATAAAATGTATATATTGTAGTAAGACTCCTTTTCTCTGCCAATAGGAGATACTTTACCTATGTTCTTTGCCTTTGGTGTAGACCTCATAGATATAAGCAGAAGTTACTCTAAAAGCCCAGCGCTTCCCTCCAACCTTTAGCAAAGAAGAATAGTGGTGGCATTTCTGTTCCTTATTTTCAGCACAAGATATTTTATTTATTTATTTTTGAGACAGAGTCTCACTGACCTGTCCCAGGCTAGAATGCCATGGTGTCAGTCTAGCTCACAGCAACTTCAAACTCCTGAGTTCAAGAGATCCTCCTGCCTCAGCCTCCTGATTAGCGAGGACTACAGGTGCCTACCACAATGCCCAGCTAACTTTTTTCTATTTTTAGTAGAGTTGGGGGTCTTGCTGTTGCTCAAGCTAGTCTCAAACTCCTGAGCTCAAGCGATTCTCCCACCTCAGCCTTCCTGAGGATTACAGGCCTGAGCTACTGTGCCTGGCCATTGAAAGCTTTTAGATGGCTTTAGTTTTTGAGAGTCAGGGAAGTAGGGTGGGAATAGCAAACAGCAGATCTCTTAGTGGGCTTTTTAAATGTTTTTGTCCATAGGCATTTAACAACAATAATATATATGTGTGTATATATATATTTTGGAGATACTTTTATACTAGAGTTATCTTCTAAATGATTCATTCTATGGAATCTTTTTTTATGTTCAGAGGTCAGCAGACCAGTTTTTAAAAAATAATTATTTGATAGAAGCAGGAAAGGTAATGTCATGGAACAAGTAGAGGATTTGGAGACAGACCACAGTTTAAGCTATAGCTTAGTCCTTTAACCAACGAAGGGGTTGTAGTTGGGCAAGTCACCCAACTTCTTCACTTTTATTATGAAGATAATAATTTCTACCTTATATAAAAGTAAAAATGAAGTTAATAAAAGTAAAAGTTTTGTAAATTGTTAACTATAGTAGAGATGCCATTATTATTGAAAACCACTTCATTTCTAAGATCTGAAAAAATTGTTCCCAGTTTGAAAGAACTTTAAAAATGCAGGTAGGTATGATTTGTATGGTATTTCAAATAGCAGTGAAAAATCTTGGTCCAAAATAAGTAGTAGGAAACTAGTGATAAAAGTTACTTTTTTAAATTATATCAAATCCAGAACTTTTGCTTTTCTCATTAAAAATATTAAGCATCATTAAATATGAGAAGGCACAAACATCTAGGGAAAAAAATACCCAAGCTGTAATTATCATTTTTAAGTGTTAAAAACCATTTTGTCTCAATAATCAAAACAAATTAATCGATAGCCTAAATAAAGCATTTTGCTCCTTGGTCACAACTACTGAAGAAGCATTATTTTTTTTTGTATCTGATATCTTAGAGTTATAGTTTCTTTAATTTAAAAAATCCAGGCTAATTATCTCATGCACATTGATTTGAATATGTATACAACATTTCATGTAGAAGATATCCTCATTTTTCTCTAGTATCTGTGAAAATGATTGTTTTAATTTCTATTAAATAATATACAAGATTTCTATGTCATCTATCACATCAAATAATGTTCAAGACATTTATTCTACTATAAAAATATGTCAATATTTTAAATAATTGAACAGTTTTTTTCCCCTGCTTAAGGAGCAGTTTAAGCCATAAGTATTTGACTGTTTATAATGATATGTTAACGATGAAACGATGTTTTTTTAAACTTTTTTGCTCACAGTGGCATGCTTACAGGGCTATTTTATTATAGTAAGTAAATTGATTTTTCTGAGATTTCTCTGACAAATGTCTTTCATTTTCAAAGTCTCTTGGTTTCTTTTTAACTATACATAACTTGGTTTGACACATCATCACTGACTTTCACTTAGTTCTGTGTTTCTGTGCAATATCAGAAAGTCACACATTTGTGATTCTCTTACCATTTGGAAATTGCTTCTAGGGTAGCAAAGAGAGTACAGGGCAGAGAACAGAATTGGAATCCTTGCTGGTTTCTTTGTTGCAATGTGTTATCACTCTAGCATGTATTATTTCCATAAAATCAAGTGAAAAGAGAAATAATCATGCATGCTGTCACCTTGCCTAAAATGGGAATGCCTCAGTGAATATAGTATTGTGTGGTGTGTGTGTCCTTTTGCATATATACATATGCATATATGTATACATACATACACATATTATTTATCATGCATATATTTATGTGTATGCACAGTATATATTATATGTATATTATATATATGCATTATGTATCTGCATATGTATAGGTATATTTTGCATATCTATGAAATACATTTATTTATTATACATTTACATATACATATGCACATGCATACATTATGTTGCATACTCTTATGCATAACAGCATGCATAACATTATTATGCATAACAGCATGTATAACATTATTATGCATACTGTTGAAACAACCAGGAGTATTAGTATTTGAATTCTTGAGAAAAGAGAAATTAAATGATGCAAATCATGTTACCTCAAACTGTACCTGAACATATATCAGCATTATAAATGTCATGTCTACCTTCCAGGGGCCAGGAGGGACTTTTCCTAGATATTTATTATAGTGAGTAATGAGAACTTTTAGTTTAAAAAAAATATATATATTTTTTTATTAAATCATAGCTGTGTACATTAATGCAGTCATGGGGTACAATGTGTTGGTTTTATATACAATCTGAAATATTTTCATCAAACTGGTTAACATAGCTAGCCTTCATGGCATTTTCTTAGTTATTGTGTTAAAACATTTATATTCTACATTTAGGAAATTTCACATGTACCCTTGTACAGTGCACTGTAGGTGTGGCCCCATCTAAAAATATTTTTTATATGTCCTGAAATTTTAGTCCATCTAAATATATGAACAATTTTAGCCCTATTCATAAGCTTTGTTTAAATAAAATCTTACCCTTATCAAAGTTTAATCTTGTTTAGATATAAATGGGTTTTCCCTGAATGCAAATCTAAATTGTAAAGTTCCATTTTCCATAATTGAAAAATTTCTGTTCTTACTAAAATGTTAAGATAGTTTGTTTTCTGCCTTTTCTAAGTTTTACTTTTGCTAGAACTATGATTAAAAATTTTCACTTTCTTTAATAAAGAGTTAGATAAAAGGCTTTTGGTTTAAAAGTTGGATGTTGAATATGTAGGACAAGAGTTCAACTGTTAGTGACCAAAATGATTGCAAAGCATTTTTTTTCTGAGAGGGAGAGTCTTTGTTGCCTGGACTGCAGTGCAGTGGTATAATCATAACTCACTGCAACTTCCAGCTCCTTTGCTCAAACCCAGCCTTCTGAGTAGGTGAGACTACAGGCACACACCATTTTGCCTGGCTATTTTTTAAATTGTAGAAATGGGGTCTTACTGTGATGTCCAGGCTGATCTTGAATTCCTGGCTTTATGCAATTCTCCAGCCTTAGCCTCCCATTGTGCTGGGATTACCACACCTGGCCCAAATAAAATCCCGTACTGTTAATTCAAAGTTGCAATTCTAGATCTGGGCTATTTTGATTGATGATTGATTGATTGATTTTTAGTCATCCTGAAGAATAATGAAAATACAAGTAAGGAATTTAAAACTTTCAGTTATGGTAAGCACTCAATTCCTAGAACCAAGGCGAAAAGCTGTCACTTTCCAAGTACATTAATATAATCCTAAACATTTTTGATGATTAATATCACTCTGTAAAGGGTAATATTGGCTAAGGGTAAATGTAAATTGCTTCTCAGTAACAAGTTTTATGTTAAAGCACAGGCTGTAGAAGAATTTGACAGTGTCTTTAGCATAGCTTTTTTTTTTTTTTTTTTTTTTTTTGAGACAGAGCCTCAAGCTGTCCCCCTGGGCGGAGTGCCGTGGCATTACAGCTCACAGCAACCTCCAACTCCTGGGCTCAAGCGAGTCTCCTGCCTCTGCCTCCCAAGTAGCTGGGACCACAGGCGCCCGCCACAACGCCCGGCTATATTTTTTGGTTGCAGCCGTCATTGTTGTTTTGGCGGGCCCGGGCTGGGGATTCGAACCCGCCACCTTAGGTGTATGTGGCTGGCGCCTTAGCCCGTTGAGCTATAGGCGCCGAGCCAGCATAGCTTTTTTTTTTTACCTGTGTCAGTTACCACACAAGGCACACTGTGACTTTTTATTCAATTCCTCCAAGTTTTAGTTCAAAATGGGAATAATGATAACAGAATTTCTACTCTCTCTACTTCACAAGGCTATTTTTTTTTTTTTTTTTAAATTTGAGACAGAACCTCAAACTGTCACCCTGGGTAGAGTGCGGTGGCATCACAGCTCACAGCAACCTTCAACTCCCAAGCTCAAACGAAATCCTGCCTCTGCCTCCCACGTAGCTGGGACTACAGGCGCCCACCACAATGCCCGCTATTGTTTGGTTGCAAGGCCGTCATTGTTGTTAGGTGGCCCAGAATGGATTTGAACCTGCCAGCTCAGATGTATGTGGCTGGCGCCTTCGCTGCTTGAGGCACAGGCACCAAGGCTATTTAGAGAATGTTCACAGTGTATATCATAAATGTTTGCACAAATGAAATAATCTGTTTTGAAATTATTATTTAAAGCATTATAAAAACATTGATATTGGATGATCACAACTATTATGGCCAGTTTTCAGCTTCCCTTAAGCACGCCTGCTTGCTAATAATTCACGCTGCCTTATTTTTCCCACAAAGAATATTGTAGTATTCTACTGAGTATTTACTTTTTAGTTACTTTTGTCAATTTGGCACAAAACTTCATGCAAGTCAAATACTCTTATCTCTCTGCTTTTTTCCTTCAAAGAGGGAGCATTATTAGACTAGAATACAACCTAAATTACGTAGGAATAGAGTAGATTAGACCCAGTATATTAATAGCTCCTCAGTGGACTGAGTAGACTTGCCTTGGAATTGTCCATTTTTTGTAAGATTTGTGATCCTCAGATAATACAAATCAGACTTTATCATTGCTAACTTTTAACACAACCTACCCTCATCAGATGGTAGCTCATGAAATACATTTTTCCATAAATTTAAATTATCTAGGATTTAATTTTTTTTTTTTTTTTGAGACAGAGTATTACTCTGTTGCCCTGGGTAGAGTGCCCTCGCATCATCATAGCTCACAGCAACCTCCAACTCTTGGACTCAAACAATCCTCTTGCCTCAACTTCCAGAGTAGCAGAGACTACAGGTGTCTGCCACAACACCTGGCTATTTTTAGAAACAGGGTTTCACTCTTGCTCAGGCTGGTCTGGAACTCCTGAGCCCAAACATTTCGCCTGCCTTGGCCTCCTAGAGTGCTAGGATTACAGATGTGAGCCACCACGCCCGGCCTAGGATTTTATTATAGAATATTCAGCTGCCTAGGATATTGATTTTCTTTTTTCCTCTAGATAATGCCTTTTAGCCCTTATCTATTGCTAACAAGGTAAAGAAACAGATGAGAAAGAAGCTCTAATTCCATTTTGCCCTTTATCAGCGCTTATAAAGGGCATGATAGAGGAGCTGGAAACTGCTTAATGTGAAATTTAAGCAGTATTTTTGTTTTTCATCTACCTGTGATCTATCTTAGAGCCCCATTTTAAGGATAGCTGGGTTTGTTTTCCTAGGTTTACTCTAGGAAGTTACTTTTCGAAGTAGGGACTGCATATTAAACATTTTCCCCTATTTTAATTAAAATGGTACTTCTTGTTAGGTTACATTTATTGTGATCGATACTTCCTAATACAATTATATTTTTATTATACTTAATTTCAGGTAGAGTGTTATGATTATGACAATGATGGGTCACATGATCTCATTGGAACATTTCAAACCACCATGACAAAACTGAAGGACGCCTCCAGAAACTCGCCTGTGAGTTACATCTTTGCATTTGCATACACCTCATAGTCTGGCCCTGTATCTATTACTGTATTTCATTTCTTTGCCCCTTGCTATAGAAAATGGTTCACCATGTTTTTACTCTGTATCACATATGCTCTGAGACATTTAGTTATCTAAAATTCATACTTGGGGTATGAGTTTTGTTGAGTAGAACACCGTGTAATGGTTACCAATGCCAGGTGAGGACTCCAACTGCAGAGTACAGCAAAGATCGTCACAATGTCGGTGACTAGGAGTAGAAGTCCAAACACTTTTGTCCTTTATATCTTGGCATTGGAGTCACCAAAGCGAACACAGTGCAGTCAAACACCAGAGCAGCAGGTCTTTACTCGTGCAGAGAAGAAACAGAGCAGAATGAGCTTTAGTAGCAGACATCGGCCCCCATGACAGCTGGTCCATCTGGCAGCAAATGCAAGGCAGCTGGCCTCGGTGTACCCTCCTGGTGCTGCAGTCAAAGGGCCCTGCCCCTCCCACATAGAGTCTGATGGCTGAGCACAGGCCTGGGAGCCATCGGCACACACTGGCTGAAGCAGAACAAAAGAGTACTTTCTGAGCCTGAGAGTGAGTGAATGAGGCAATGCAGCCTTTTCTCAATGAGAATTCTGTTGAGGGCACTTCTGTATCCCCAACATTCAATAATTAATATTTATGATTATGACTGAAACTCTGACAAGGTCCTGAACCATCGAGGAATTTGTTTAATGTAATTCTGTTTTGCATGATTGTATCACATGTGTTTTTTGATGCTTGATTCTTAGAGAATTAGTAATGACTGAAGTACATAAGTGGCTTTCTGTTAACCAGAAGAGGCACCTTATCAAGTATTCACTGAGAGTCTCTTGTGCTATTATTAGGCAAGACAGTGATAATTCAAGGATGTAACTTGGAGATGATTATACTCTAGCTATGAAGCAAAATTAAGTGAAACAATTGAGAATAATACAGAGTATATAGCTAAATATTATATGATTGTAGAATTTTGAGGAGATGGTTGGAGATCAGAGAAGACTAGAATAGTAGTAGAAGTTATAGAGAAGAATGATATGAACCAAGCCTTAAGGATGGATATGTGGATAGGAGGTGGAGGGAAGGCCATTCTCTATGGGGGAAGGAAATACACATAAAGGAGAATGTTAGATATTGGATATTGGATCTATTTCTAATACATAGTCCCAGTAGAAACAGATGATCTTTGCTGCATATTTTACCATAGGATCGGGCTTTCAAATATATATTAAGAGAGAGTCTCAGTTTATTGCCCTCGGTAGAGTGCCATGGAGTCACACCTCATAGCAATCTCCAACTTCTGGGCTTAGGTGATTCTCTTGCCTCAGTCTCCTGAGTAGCTGGGACTTCAGGTGCCCACCACAATGCCCGGCTAAGGGCTTTCACATATTGTTATATGATGTTGGGCTTTTTCCTCTTTTCTAAGAGGCATATTTTTGTTCTTTGTGTTGGTAACAACTAAGGGTAATATTATATTTCCTTTATTATAAAGGAGAAAGATTATTAGTTGAAGCATTTTCAAGGAAATCACCTACAGAGGTAATATTTACTCTTGGGAACTATTTTAAAGGGTATGTGATTTTATGAGTACCTTGACTGGTTAGCTGATTATGTTTCATGTAATTGTTTCTGAGTTATATTTTGCAACAAACCTGTATCGGTAAGTAGTTTGATCCCAAGGGGAAAAAGTCATTTATTCAAATTTGTATTGGCAATTCTAATATTGCTTATAAAAATTAACATTTTTGTCATCTTTTCCTACAGATTGAATTTGAATGCATAAATGAAAAAAAGAGGCAAAAGAAAAAAAGCTACAAGAATTCAGGAGTTATCAGTGTGAAACAGTGTGAGGTTGGTTGGCCTTGGCTACTTATAATGGAATAAGATTGTATTTCACATTCTCCTATCAGTATGGTTTGTATCAAACAAATACTTGAATTTTGAGCAGTTGAAAATTACATGAGCATCTGGTCACTTTAGGGAAAAGAATAGAGTATGAAATTGTAAAAATGTCTTTCAAATAACTTGGTTCTAAGGATTGACAACTTATTAGCAAAGGACCAGGAATATTGATATTTTTCATTATCTTAGGAAATATAAGGCATTGCAGTATTTTCCCAGGCTGTTAGTGGAAATGGCCTCGCCCAGTGTATTTATACAGTTTATAATCTAAAGTGATATGTTATGAGTGGGGGGAAAAGCTGGCTTCTTACAGAGAACAGTGGAGTTTTTGTTGTTGGTGGTGGTTTTGTTTTCTTTTTATATCTCAATCACTGTTCTTATTAAAGTTATCAGCACATTAGACTCATTATTAATTTCATTAAACTTAAAGTGAGTATATTTCATCTTCGGCCATTAATATTCTTATCTTAACATTGCTGTAATTATCTTGAAGAAAATCTTGTAGATTCATGACGTGGAAGGGTAGAAGAGCCTTAAACTCAAAACCAGGGGTGATTTCCACATTATCCACATTTGTATAATGTGCTATTCAATCTACAACGTCTTAAAACACATAAGACAAAAAGCTTTCTGTTTCTCTTCTCAGAGACTATAGTAAGGGAGAAGTAATTTTAACAATTTTCTATTTATTTTTAGATTACAGTAGAATGCACATTTCTTGACTATATCATGGGAGGATGTCAACTTAATTTTACTGTAAGTAAGATGCTGAATTTTTCAGTATAGGTTATAAAATGTTGTTTTTTTCTCCATTTTACAGTATTCTTTCTTTTACTGCAACCCTGACTTTGTGATAACATTTATATAATCTGCTCAGTAAGGTCCCCTGAGAGACCTTAGGTAGGTTGCCCAGGTTCATCAAAGCTCTGGGCTTTGCTGATGAGATTGCTTCCTCCTGAGAGAGAGAAGATATGCACAAACTAGTCGTTATCCTGAAGTAATTTAAGTAACCGAAAGCATCAGTTGGCTGGGCGACTGTAGTCGGTTAGGGCACCAGCCACGTGCATTGGGGCTGGTGGGTTTGAGCCTGGCCTGGGCCTGCTAAAACAAAACAACAACAACAAAAGTAGCCAGGTGTTGTGGCAGGCACCTATAGTCCCAGCTACTCAGGAGGCTGCAAGACAAGGGAATCTTTTGAGCCCAAGAGGTTGAGGTTGCTGTGAGCTATGATGCCAGGAGACTCTACTAAGGGTGACAAAGTATGACCCTGTCTCCATTTAAAAAAAAAAAAAAAGCATCAATCAAACAAACTTACAAGAAGAAATCCCTAAGTCTAAGGGATGGGTATGGTAACTCATGATTTAAGATGTGTAGAAAAATAGGAACAGCAGGTGGTTTCATGTTGAGGTCTTGATTGTGTACTTGTCTATGGCAGGTGTCCTCAAACTACAGCCCATGGGCCACATGCAGCCTGTCTAGGACATTTATCCGGCCCACCAGGTGTTTTTGCCTCTGCTGCCTGTCCTGCTTAGCAGCTGACTCATCCCGGGGCCCGCGGTCCAGCCCTCCAAGAGGGTATGAGTTTTGTTGAGTAGAACAGTGAACTGGCCCCCTGTTTAAAAGTTTAAAACAGTGAACTGGCCCCCTGTTTATAAAGTTTGAGGACCCCTGGTGTACGGGCATAGTAGGCATCTATTAGGAGAGGGCAGGAGCAGGCTCCAGGAATGGATATTTGTATCACCTTTCCTCAAGTTTTCGTAGAGATCAAGAACAGGTGTCCCTGCCTTCTCTTTACTAAGGGGTAAAATTATTATTTGACAGGTGGGAGTGGACTTCACTGGCTCCAACGGTAACCCAAAGTCTCCAGACTCCCTTCATTTCATCAGCCCCAATGGTGTAAATGAGTATTTGACTGCTATCTGGTCAGTGGGACTGGTCATTCAAGATTATGATTTGTGAGTATGACTTTAGAAAAACTAAAATGCTTATTTTCACAACTCCCCAGAAAGGGCAGTTTCTATTTCATTATACGGCTAGAACTCTCATATGTGAGGTCTGACAATTAAGTGTGGGAATTCATCCTAAAAAAAGTGCCACCTGCCTCTTTGTTGACTATTACTCTGGTCACCTTTGAAGTGCTCCCCTTGGCTAAGCCAGCAGCTGGTCCACCCTTCAAAGCAGTTTTGAAGCTTTCTCTGATATGGTCATCAAAGCTGACATTGTCTTACCTTTGATGTCCTAAATGTTATCAAAATATCTTCCCTTCAATATTTTTTTTATCTTCAGGTAAAGAAAAAGTCATTGGGGCCAGATCAGATGAGAAGGAAGGGTTTTCCAATACAGTTCTTTGTTTATTGGCTAAAAACTCCCTTCACAGACAGTGCCATGTGAGCTGGTGCATTATTGTGATGCAAGAGCCATGGGTTGGCCACGATTTCAGTTAAGATTTTCCTGTTTCTCTATTAATGTTTAGTTGGTCTGCTATGTTTCTCACAGTCAGTTGATAATTTTGATGCCCAATTCAATGAATTTTGCAGTTTTGTCAGTTCAATGACTTATTGGCTACTCTGCCCTCTCTTCATCAGTGACACTTACTTTCCCCTCAGAAAAATTTTTAATCCATTTGTATACTGCTGTTTTCTTCATGGCATTATCCCCATAAACTTGGACTAGCATGTTGCTGATTTTACTTCCATGCTTGCCAAATTTAATAAGAAATTTATGTATTCAAGTTCCAACAATTCTTGAGACAGCATATAAAAACTCGGAACAACAATAATGAAAGCCACTAAACAAGACACCACCACATGTTGACACAAACACAACTGTGGGCCACTGATATACCAAGGTTGTGAAACTTTACCGAGTGGTTTGTACAGTGCTGCCAACATAAGTGTGTGGTGGCAAGTTCAAGAACTTAATTGTCAGACCTCATAGGTGGTGGGATGAGAGTGATGGGGGCAATAGCTTTCTCCTTAGAATTTTCCTTACTTTCTATTTGTGTATACCTTTGATCTCTAACCTCATTCTGTGATTAGTTATATTATGAACAGCTTGCTTATTTAATAGCTGACTGATGACAGCAAGACTCTTCTTTGATCTTGTTTCTTTGGGGTTAATTCTTTAGGAATAAGCTGTATGTGATTGAAGTCCAGATGAAATGTTAGTAAAAACTTCTTTGTTTCTTCTTCTTCTTCTTTTTTTTTTTTTTACTATTTCTTAACATGTTTATTTCCTTGGCAGTCATCAAATCATTTTTTTTAATTAAGTAATTCACTTACTTTGAATAAGTGAAGGATAACTTGATCTAATTGCATAAAATACTCTAAATGGGTTCTCAATGGTTAGATTTTGAATAGATTTAAATAAGTTCTCTTGGAGATTTATTAAACAATAGGAAAAAAATCTGTGTTAGAATTTTTCTGCATCTGTTAAAACGCAGGATAAATTTTCACTTGTTTTTGCCTATTTTTTTGATGATTAAAGTATTGATGGAACTTTTCATTAATTTGTCATGGCATTTGAAGAGGTGAAATTTTCAGGCAAATACAAAAAAATCTAAAGCAAAGGTGGCAATTTCAATATCAGGCTAGTGAACTGCAAGACAAAAATCACTGGATATGTGAAAAAGTTATAGAATACTTTGTTCTACAAGCCAAAATAAAAATAACCTTGGACATTTACTAACAGAGTATTAACGCATTTTAAGTAAAAATAGCTGGAAATATAATCAAAATTTCAAAGTAACCCAATTATAATGGAATTGTTATATAAAAAGTAGAAAATCTGTAGGTTTTCTTTTTCAGATTTACACCTAGAAGTTAATTATAAAAGGATAATTAAAGAAAATTTACTACATGGAAATAAAAAATCCTCAAGTAGTTCTTAGATCATAGAGGAAATCAAAGTGTGAAAATAGACTATCTAGAAATAAAAGACAATAAGGGGACTGCATGTAGGACTGCTCCTATTAGGGAAAATTTCTGGCTTTACATGCTGTTATTTTTAGACAGTAAAAATTAGACATAAATGAACTAGTTTTTCAACAAAATAAAAGTGAAGAATAGGAAATAAAAATAAAGAAATAATAATGGATTCTATACATGTGTTAACCATTATGTACCAGGGATAATTTAAAGTATTTTCTGTGTAGTTTTCATCTAATCCTTACACTTTGCTGTGAGATGGATACTTTCATCTACATTGAACACATGAGAAAACTGAAGCACCTCATGTTACGTAACTTGAGTTACATAACTCAGCTGGTAACTGGCAAAGATGTGTTGAGCCTGGGCTGTTGGGCTCCAGAGACATGCTCTGATAGTAATGATTTGGAAAGTTAAAGAAAAAGTACCAGACTGGCTGTGGTGGCTCATGCCTGTAATCCTCTGGGAAGCCAAGGCGGGTGTATCACCTGAGCACAGAGTTCAAGACCAGCCTGAGCAAGAGCGAGACCCCATCTCTACTAAAAATAAAAAAACTAGCTACGTATTGTGGTAGGTACCCATAGTCTCAGCTACTTGGGAGGCTGAAGCAAAAGGATTCCTTGAGCCTAGGTGTTTAAGGTTGCTGTGAGCTATGATGGACACTAGGGTACTCTAGCCTGAAGCAACAGAGACTTAATCTCAATAAATAAATAAATAAATAAATAAATAAAGGAAAACTACCAAACTGATAAATTAAATCAAGAGACGATTCTTTAAAAGTTTTAGCAAAACTGGCTAGACATGGTGGCTCATACCTGTAATCCTAGTACTCTGGGAGGCTGAGGTAAATGGATTTCAGTGCCCACTGTGGCACCCTGTCACTTTGCAAATAAAAGCAGCTAGGACCACAGATGGAAGGCACAAATGCCTGGACAAGGGGGGCTTCCCATATTCCAGGGAGAGGCCTGAGCAACCTCTGCCATTGCTTTTTATTGAAGCATTGTACAAGAGGTGTGGGGGCCCACACACAAGAGCTACGTACTTACTGATCACTGCGTGCTCTTTCCCGTGGGCTCGACTCCCACCTTGCTGTACCATGTATAACACCTGCTTGCTAAGGAGTGACCAGCAACGATCTTAACTTATTAACACCTGCAGCTGCTTGAGGGCTTGTCTCCAGGCAGCCAAACATCTCCATGCGGGCTAGGAGATTGTCCCGCTCCCAGTGCCTCCCTCAAGAGCTGGTGACCACTTCCACAATCTTGGTGCACTGTCCCCTATATCAAGACTTGGACACAGCTTGAGCAAAAGCAAGACATTATCTCTAAAAATAGCTGGGCATTGTGGCAGGCACCTGTAGTCCCAGCTACTTGGGAGGCTAAAGCAAGAGGATAGCTTGAGCCCAAGAATTTTAGGTTGCTGTGAGTTATGACACCAGCACTCTTACGAGGGTGACAAAGTGAGACTCTGTCTCAAAAAAAAAAGTTTAGAAAAACTTAGAGAAATTTTTGGCAGCCCTGATCCCAAAATCTGGACTAATGGATGGTATTTTAGAAAGTTATAAATTACCAAAGTTTACCTGAAGAGGCAGAAAACCTGAATAGACCAGGAATCATGGAAAGAATGGAACAGGAAGTCAAAGAGCCACTTCTCATCAAGGCACCAGGCCAGGACAAGTTCATACATAAGTTCTAACAAACCTGCAAGGAATGAATTCCAACATGAAACAAATCAACTGAAAAAAATACTAGATAGGCAGTGCCTATAGCTCAGTGGGTAGGGTGCCAGCCACATACACCAAGGCTGGCAGGTTCAAATCCAGTGTGGGCCAGCTAAACAACAATGACAACTGCAACCAAAAAAAAAAAAAATAGCCAGGCATTGTGGTGCACCCCTGTAGTCCCTGCTGCTTGGGAGACTGAGGCCAGAGAATTGCTTAAGCCCAAGAGTTTAAGGTTGCTGTGAGCTGTTACACTACGGCTGTTATGCCACAGCACTCCACCGAGAGAGACAAAATGAGACTCTGTCACAAGAAAAAAAAAAATACTAGATAGTAGTGAGTTCACAAAGGTAGTCAGATATAACATAAAATTAAAAAATTAACGATTGAGTCCAGTCTACGTGGCTCACACCTGTAATCCTAGCACTCTGGTAAGCCAAGGCAGGTGTATCACCTGAGCTCAGTTGTTCGAGGCTAGCTTGAGCAAGAACGAAATTCTGTCTCTACTAAAATAGAAGAACTAACAGGGCATTGTGGCTGTCACCTGTAATCCCCAGCTACTCAGGAGGCTGAGACAAGAGGATCGCTTAAGCCCACGAGTTTGAGGTTACTGTGAGCTCTAATGGCACAGCACTCTGTCCAGGGTGACTGAGTGAGACTTAATATAAAAAAAAAATAACAATTTCTCACTAGCCAGCAATAACCAATTCAAATAATTATAGTGGACAAATGTTATAATTTATAACATAATGAAAAATGAAAATGAATTTAATAAAAAGTCTAGGATCTTTAGTAAAGGAAACTAGGACAAAGAAGGAAATTTGCCGAAATGGAAAGAGATACCACGATTTCTAGAGAGACGGATGTCATAATGATCATGTAAAATTTTCTCCCTGAATTTATCAACTTTAATCAAAATTGCAGTAGAACCCTGACAAAATAATTCTTAAAATTCTCTTAAATGAGAAATGAAAAAAAAAAAAGAAAGAAAGAAACAGAATACCCAGGCAATTTTCTAGCAAAGCAGAAAAAAAGAAAAAGAAATGAAGGATAATTTGCTCCAGCAGATATTAAAACTTACTGTAAAGTTATCTTAAATAAGAGTATAGAACTAGTACATGAACAGTAGAAATAAGTAATAGTGCAGAAATAGATATACTTACATAAATGGATTTAGGGGGAGGGATTTTAACAGCAATCCTACTGGCAAGGATTGCATTTGAATCCTGACTCACATCTGTGCATGTTAAGGTACGGTACTATTCTGTATAAAGTAGCATTTAGAGCCATACTGCTGAAACGGACACTCCATTACAAAGTGACTTCAATAGAATAGAGGTTTATTTCTCCTTCATGTTGCATGTCTAGAGGTAAGTAGTTGGGACTGATAGAGCAGTTCTACCATTCTCAATTTATAGCAGGCGGTTGTAACATCGGTTTATGGCTGCGTGCTTGGGTCCAAGGCCACTGCTCTGGTGTGCATCTTCCCCAGCTGCTGGGGAGAGAAAAAAAGCCCCGGGAGCACATGTGCTTTCCCTGTTAGGGGCGTGATTCGGGAGTGACTGACAATTCATTTCTACTCACATTTCCCTGGCTAGAACCTAACCACCTGACCACATGCAGCTCAGAGGAGGTAGGAAATTTAGTCTCTAGCTCAAGTATTCTATTATTCAGGAAAAGGAAAAAGGATATCTGTAGAAAGCAGCAGTTTTGGCTTCATGTCCTACTCCAAAACACTTTCCAAATGAATTAGGAATTTAACATCAAAAGCAAACTTGACAGTTCTAGGAGAAAACATGTGACTTGTTTATAATCTTGCAGTGAGAAAGGCCTTTAGAAAGACAAGGCAGAAACCCCGAAAGAATTTTTATGTGTTCATTAATATTAAAAACTCTGAATAGATTGTACTTTAAACAGAGTTAAAGACGAATAACAAACTGGGAAAATTATTTCTGATGAAGGTTCTATTTTCCATGCAAAAAGAACCACTAAGAATAAATATAAAAATAATATCCCTAATAGAAAAATTAGTATGTTCATTACAGTGTTTTATGATTGCCAGAACATTGGCTGTCTGACGTTTATCCAGTGGGATACTCAGCAGCCATTCCCAGGATTTTGTATATTCAGGTCCACAGTCCTATCCCTAAACCCTGGAAGTCAAATAGTGGCAAATATATTTTGCTACAGAAACCTGAGAGTTTTATGATATATGGCATTTGTACTGTGTTTCTGGGGCCAAATATGTGAACATGCATATTAAGTGGCACAAAAGCTGTGAATAATCTCTGCTTCATTCAGATCAGATTTTGCTGCCAGATGAGTTTGCTGTAAACAAATGAAAAAACTTGTGATTTTAGGAATTTATTGACACATTTGTGCAGTGAAATTCTGCACAAGATTTAAGTAGAAGAGTGAGTTATAAAACATGAATATTAATTCAATTTTTATAATATACATAGAGAAACATGTTTCTTCTTTAAATACACAGAAAAATATTTAGAATATAAATTGTCGGAAATGCTCATTGATTCCCTCTGGTTTGTTTTATCTTTATACTTTTCTAAGATTTTAATTTTTTTGAAATCATTTTAGGTTAATTTTATTATCAGTAAAGATAAAGCTCTTTTTATTTTGGGGAAAAAAATATTTTACCTTCTCAAAAATTTCTTTTTAGTGATAAGATGTTTCCAGCTTTTGGCTTTGGAGCCCAGATTCCTCCTCAGTGGCAGGTAAGAGGAAATCTCATTTTAAAGCTTTGCTTTCTAGAAAAGCAACACAGGCCTCATCAATCTTTCTTTCCTTTTTGGCAGGTATCCCATGAATTTCCAATGAATTTTAACTCATCCAATCCCTATTGTAATGGTAAGTTTAAAAAATACACATGAAGACTTTAAATTCAAAACCATAGTAATCTTTGTTAATTATTCCATTCTTATCCTTTAAGACTACTTAAATTTCATCTCTAGGTTTTGCTTTGTTACCTATTTAACTTTCTGCTGTATAAAGTAGAAAAGTTGCAGTAGGTTGGTGGTTAGGATGGAAATGAGAGTGACAGGGCACCTCAGTATGATGATGGTGGAGGTTGTAGCATAAATTCGTCTACCTTCAGAGGGTTAATAAAACAAAAAAATCCTCAGCCGTGGGAAGATGTCAGTACGAAGAGTCAGATATTAAAAGTATGTTCCCATATAAGTTGATTTGAAAATAAACCTTTAATAAAACGAATAATTCAATGTACAGACCTTTCAAAGGTTTTCACAGAGTAGCAGTCACAGCACTAGGAAAGAAGTGTCCTGCGTCTACTTACTTGTTCACTCAGCGTTCTGCAAGTGGGTGGGAAGGATGAACAGGAGGAAGAACTGAGCTTCTGTAGCAGCTTTTCTCTGTGCACACAGCAGGAGGCAGACATTTGTTTCATTTGACTTTTTTCTTTACACCTGGGTATCCAAGTGCTTCCTCCTTTTTACTGTATTGGCTAATCAACCTAAAATGTCAAATCTCTCACTAAATTATATGAGACTAGAGGAGGAAGGCTGTGTGTGACAGTAGAGGCATAATTTAAAATTCTAAGCAAGAAACGAATTTTCTGTAATTATAAAATTTGTGGCTTTCTAAAGGTGTTCTTTCCTTTTCTTCCCAAATAATGTTCATAGGCTAGAAAAGCATGAACATTTTGGAGGTGGGGGGTTTAGGTGCATTAAGATTTTCTCCTTTTTTCCAAAACACTTCTTCCATGCTGATTCAGTGTTCCCTTGAATTAGTTTCAGTGGCTGGTTGTAACTTCTTTTGTCCCTAAGCCATTTGAAACTGGGAATATTAATTCTCTTTAAGAAATGTGAGGCCGTGCTTGGTAGCTCACGCCTGTAATCCCAGCGCTCTGGGAGGCCAAGGTGGGTGGATCATTTGAGCTCAGGAGTTCAAGACCAGCCTGAGCAAGAGTGAGACTGAAAAATGAAAAACTGAAGAGTCTGAGGTTGCTGTGAGCTGTGATGCCTCAGCACTCTACCAAGGGTGACAAAGTGGGACTCTATCTCAAAAAAAAGAAAAAGAAACTGGAATAATTTCTAGAATTTGTTGAAATTAGGCTTGGGTTTCATTTATTGTAAATAAATGTGGATGACATACGTGATAATTCAATTTAAAAGTTCATTTTCTCTGTTAGTTATATAAGCCTATCTTTGGGCTGTTTACCAAGCACAGCTTTTTTATTTTTGGTTTACAGTCTGGAAAAAGAACCTGTGTGGTTTTAGACAAAGAAGATACTGTACAGAAAAAGAAAATATAGAACCTTATTTGGGAGCAAGGAAGTTTAATCTCTTTGCTTAATTAACCATAGAACTTGATTGCCTAGAAAATATACATCTCACTTGTTTCTTAAATGCAAGGAAAGAATTTTGGCGCAATTCAGTTTTAGTTGAGAGATCAAAGGCGCCTGATATTTGTGAATAAATTAAATATATTTGTGAATAAATTAAATTCATTGTTTTTACCTTCAGATTGGAAAGCAAGCTAAGATGATAGAATTGGAAGAAAACTTTGCTGTGGTAATGGGCTCAGCATTTGTTATGCAGTCAGGTTCTGCTGCTGACAGATGCTAACCTTATTTTTATTATTACTGGCTAACTTACTTTAATATGTAAAACCACCTCTACATATGAATTAGTTATATTCGCAAAGGTTGTTTAGAAGACTACTTGGTTCTAAGTTCAAAGTAACTTATAGGAGTTTATTGGAAGTCTTAAATTTTAGGAGTCTTGAGACACTTTAAATCAAATACAGTTGTGCACCGAATTACAATGTCTTGATCAATGTTGGAACATGTATATGACCGTGGTCCCATAAGATTATAATACCATATTTTCCCTGTACCCTTACTGTTTTCTATGTTTAGAGATGTTTCAGCACATGCATTGCCATTGTGTTAATTGCCTATAGCATTCAGTACAGTATCGTTTGTATGTTTAAACTACAGGTTTATAGCCTAGGTCAATCCGTTTGTGTGACTATACTCTGATGTTTCACAATGACAAAATTCCCTATTGACACATTTCTGAGAATGTATCCCCATTGCTAAATAATACGTGACTGTATATGTTTCTTTTGCTGCCTGAGGTTCTACTGTGCAATTTTTTTTATTTCTTTTTGAGACAGAGTCTCACTTTGTTGCCCTCCGTGGAGTGCTGTGGTGTCATAGCTCACAGCAACCTCAAACTCTTGAGCTCAAGCAATCCTCTTGTCTCAGACTCCTGAGTAGCTGGGACTACGGTGTCCACCGCAATGCCCAGCTATTTTTAGAGACAGGGTTTTGCTCATGCTCAGGCTGGTCCCCAACCTGTGTGAGCTCAGGCAATTCACCCACCTCGGCCTCCCAGAGTGCTAGGATTATAGGCATGAGCCACCACACCTGGCCTATTGGGCATTTTTTTTGAGACAGAGTCTCAAGCTGTTACCCTGGTTAGAGTGCTGTGATGTCACAGCTCACAGCAACCTCAAACTTCTAGGGCTCAAGCGATTCTCTTGCTTCAGCCTCCCAAGTAGCTGGGACTATAGGTGCCTACCACAATGCCTGGCTATCTTTTCTTTTTGTTGCAGTTGTCATTGTTTTAGCTGGCCCAGGCTGGTATGGCACCTGCCAGCCTCCGTGTATGTGGCTGGTGCCCTACCCACTAAGCTATAGGCGCTCGCTGCCCCATTGGACATTTTTAAAGCAGGAGACCTATTTTGGTTTACATTAAAAGTTTTTGTGACAGATATCTGATCTGCGATGATCCCCAAAAGAAAAGGGGGAAATCCCTTATGATTTCTAATATGCTGCCTGCATCCTAAACACTCTGACATTAAGGCCAGATTCAATAGGTGCAAATGGAGGATACAAGTTTCACTGGGAACAGCTTTTACCAGGAATGCCAGTCAACTTCCGTTAGGTTGTGCTGTTACAATAAACAGTCTCTAAATCTCAGTGGCTTATAAGGACAACCTTTTATCTCTTGCTCATTTTACACATGGCTAGATTGTAGCTCTGCTGGGACTCAGGCAAGAGGAGCAGCCCCCATTTGGGATGTGCTACTCCCATGACAGAGAGAAATAGGGAGAGAGCTGGAGAAAAACGACAGTTCTAGAAACATCTGTTTCAGCAGGGACATCATGTTCATTCACATGCACGGGTCAAAACTAGGTGAATGGCCCTGTCTAATTCTCAGCCTACCTCCAGCAGATCCTGGGGGCATTTTCCCATATACAGACACACTAGCACTTCCACAACAAAATGAATAAATTACCTGAAATTGAATATTCAGAACCAATGCAGCCTGTGATACTATGCTTAACTTTTAAGTCATTGAATGAACACTCACATCAGTTAATTAACTGAAATTAATATTAGGTTTATAGCCATCTGGGAGGTCCATTTTTATGGAACCTCTGGCCCTATATGTGAATTTTTTTTTATTTTATCAGAAACTTTGCTTACCTCTTATCAGTTGTATGATACGGCATCTTTTTTGTGGTTCTTTTCTTTTTTTTTTTTTTTTGAGACAGAGCCTCAAGCTGTCCCCCTGGGTAGAGTGCCGTGGCATTACAGCTCACAGCAACCTCCAACTCTTGGGCTCAAGCGAGTCTCCTGCCTCCACCTCCCAAGTAGCTGGGACCACAGGCGCCCACCACAACGCCTGGCTATTTTTGGTTGCAGCCGTCATTGTTGTTTGGCGGGTCCGGGCTGGGGATTCGAACCTGCCACCTTAGGTGTATGTGGCTGGCGCCTTTGCTGGTTGAGCTATAGGCGCCGAGCCTGTGGTTCTTTTCCATTAGTCACATTTCCAAAATGCATCAAAATTAAGCAAAAACGTGACAATCCTACTGTAGACTAATGAATAGTTTGATTAAAATGAAAATAAAGGCCATCAACTGGGGAGGGCAGGGTTGATAGGTTTTTGCACTAGAGCATAGCTGTGAAGCTTTGTGATGCATAGCTTAGAGGAACTCCTGAATATAGAACTTTTGACTATTGAAGGCACTATATGCTGATTAGATGTAATTAAATCAGCCAGGATTGTGAATAAACATGTTATGCTTGAGAATTTTTTATACTGCTTTTTTCGGTCTAGGAATCCAAGGCATTATAGATGCCTATCGGGCTTGTCTTCCTCAGATAAAACTCTATGGACCAACTAATTTTTCTCCAATCATAAACCATGTGGCCAGATTTGCTGCTGCAGCCACACAGCAGCAGACTGCTTCTGTAAGTGCCCTTCACCCGGGGATGGGAAGAGGGTGTGTTGGTACTTGCTCCTGTTGCCATTTTTCTCTTTGTTTAGTCTGTCCTGATACAAAGTCAGGGCAAGATGCATGATATAGTCATCCTTCGTTTGGGAGTAACATCTGTCGTTAAATTAACAACCGTGAAGAATATGACAAAATTATGCTTGTAATTCTAGCAGTCTGAGAGGCTGAGGGAGGAAGATTGCTTCGGGTCAGGAGTTCAAGACCAGCCTGAGCAAGACTGAGACTTGTCTCTACAAAAAATAGAAATATTAGCTAGGCATGGTGGTGGGCACCTGTAGTACCAGCCAGTGGGGAGGATTGCCTGAGCCCAGGAGTTGGAGGTGGCAGTGAGCTTTGATGCCATAACTACATTCTATCTGAAGTGACAGAGCAAGACTCTGTCTCAAAGGTAAAAAAAAAAAAAGACAACAACAAAATAATGCTTGTATTCATGAATCTTTCTCTTTCTCTTTTTTTTTTTTTTTTTTTGAGACAGTCTTACTTGTAGCCCTTGGTAGTCATGGCGTTACAGCTCACAGCAATCTTAAACTCTCAGGCTCAAGTAGTTGGGACTACAGGTACCTGCCACAACACCTGGCTATTTTAGAGATGAGGTCTCACTCTGGCTTAGGCTGGTCTTGAACCATTGAGCTCAGGCGATCCACCCTCTAAGCCTCCCAGAGTGTTAGGATTATAGGCATGAGCCACCGCATGCACACATGACCCCTTTTCTCTGTCTTTTGAATTAATTTTCTCAGATAGATTCTAACCCCTCCTCCCCCCAAATCTATTATCTACCTTTTTGAAGTAGACTTCACAAATTAAGGTTTGTGAAGACTTAGCACATCAGTTTCAATTGCAATATTACTTAGTATACTAAGGAGATCTGAATTAGCTAACCTTACCTATTGGACCAAATATCTTATCTTCATTATACTCAGAAGTAAGGGAAGGGAAACTACCTCACAGCTGTCAGAAAGGCTACATAATTCACATAAAGTACACAGTGATGGGTCAGAGTAAACTCTCGGGACAGGTTAGCTACTATTCTAAATTTATTCCATTTTAGATTTAAATGGCCCCAAAGATGGAGCCACAACTTTTAATAACATTTCAGAGTAACAGTGTTCCTCTGAAAAGTTGTATCATAGATGACTAAATTTAGAGAAAGATTTCTCCCCTTAAACCTTAACTATTTTTTTAAAAGTGTAGTTTAGTATGGGAAACAACTCAGCTACTTCTGTATTTATTTGATCTTTTTTTTTTTTTTTTTTTTGAGACAGAGCCTCAAGCTGAGCCCCTGG